AAAAAACTATAAATGTAGTTCAACACAGCAATTTTTGTAGGAGAAGCATAATCATATCAATAAAGTACAAAAATGCAACTTATTTATTCTTAATGAAAATAGTACTCAAATAGAAACAGATACTAGTTCCTTAATCTTCTAACAGTATTTAATAAAAACTGGCAGTAAACATTAGTGGTAACATATCGGAGGCATTTCTTGAAAAATTAGGGACAAGAATGCTGGCTATTGCTATTCATTTTCAATACTGTACTTAGTTAATATAGCAACTCTAGTAAAGACCGAAGTCATAAAAATCCAAAAGGGAGAAACAAATTTCTCATTATTCATAGAAAATTTCAAAAAATCTAAAATATCTTTCATTAAGAATTTAGCAATGATGTTGGCACAAAATACAAAAAAAAAATCAGAAGGAAAGCAAATTTTAAAGTTAAAATGTGAACAAAATAGAATAAGAAATTTAAGGAAAGACAAGAAGACCTGTATGATGACTTTAAATGAACTTAAGTATACGGAGAGTTATGCTTATAGATTAAATATTATGTAGCTCCAGGCTATGGGGCTCTAGAGAAACTATTTTTATGTTTTCACATAATTAGCTCTTTTAAGTAAATTTTACTGACGCTTGAGACGTGGAGTAAATGCAAATCACTGGGTGTTGACTAATTTCAATAGTGAAAAAACTCGAGAGATTTTGTCTTCTGCAGGTAATAACTTCAAGGTGATGCATCAGGTAACCTAGACCAAGGGGACTCCTCGGTGTAGCTGTATACATCAGCTTTATCTGTTCTCTGCAATGACTAACATTCCAAAGGCTTAGTAAGAACCCAAGATCCATCTCTTCAGACTTTCAAGGAAGACTCTCAGAAAGGATGAGAGGGATAGGAAGAAACATCTGTCTTTTTTCCTCTATTTTATTGATTTATTTTTTGATTGATTGTCTTTCTGAGACAAAGTCTTACTATACAGTGCAGGCTGGCCTTGAGCTCACTTTGTATCCCAGACTGGTCTCAAACTTGAAACAATCTTCCTACCTCAGTCTCCTGAGTGCTGGAGATTACAGGCATGCACGATCATGCCTGGCAGAGTATTAACTCCTGGATAAAAGTTTTTGGGGTTCCTACTTATAACACAGACTCCTTCCTCATGAGTAGAGTTTTATCCAGACATGGCTCAAGTGGTATCAGATAATGGGCTACATAAATGTTATCTATACTATCATATTACTATTTAGAAAATAATACACTGCAATTCAGACTTCACATAGAAATTTAACAAACAATGGCTTAATGTTTAAAAAACTATAAATGTAGTTCAACACAGTATTACCTCAGAGGTCAAAATTGGCACAGAGGAGAGCCCATGCAATTATTGAGGTAGGAAGAAATAAACATAGGTAGAAAGGAGATGAGGAAAATTGTAATATAAAAAAAAATATACTTGTAAGACTGGGGACACAGTTACTCAAGGCTATGAACATGTGTATTCCCTAATTCTTCCAGGCCCATTACCCTCAAAATTCTTTAAGGATTCTATCTAAGTTCATAAATTAGTTTAGCTGAGAAAAGAAGGAGTGGGAACCTGTTCTTAAGACAAAGGAAGAGGTTGAGAGACTTCAAAGGATGCTTAAATTAGCTGTGATTTTTTTTTAAAAAGTGGGCTCCTACTTTTTACCTATAAAATTGGTCATTATCTTTCTAGGGGATGGGCTATCTTTTCAAAGGTTTCCACCCCCTCATGAGAAACATAAATGTTTATTATTCTAAAAGATAGTGCACATCTCTCTTGAGGGTCCACATTGTTTCTTCCAGTGTGTATTTTAAAAATTCTGCCTATTACATCCCTTCACAGCTCTTATAGACACGACCTAGAAATTTTTTTCTGTAATGAAAGTCAGCAAACCTGAAACTTTATTCTTTGAGTAAGGTGGATTTAGGTCCCTAATCTCTGCTTTAGGAACTTCCTCAGACAGTGACAGTCATTATATGCTGTGTGTAAATAATAAAAGTCTGCTCTGCTTTTGATACAGGTGTGGATTCAGAATATTAATACACACTAGAAAGAACCTGACTTAGTAAGATAATGACATCAATTCTTCTAGATTGACCTTTAGATTCAATGCAATTTTAATCAAATTTTCATAGTGTTCAAGGAACTCAGACACAGACCCCTGCACATATGACAAAGCTGACACTACACAACACTGGGGAATAGAGAGTCTCTTTAGTAAATGAACAACTTGTAAACCATATTTCCAAGTAAAACTGAATCTTCATCCCACAATGAGACAATTGACACCCCAAACAGATTTTTCTAAAAAGACAATGATTCTTCACTTAGATCTACAGATACAACATGAGCAACTAAAAATGGATATAGCTTTCTATTTGTGCTTTAATTTTTTGTCTCCTTTATTACTTTAAACTTTGTGTGAGACTTCTGTTCAGCTCTGAATACAGACATAATCATTAAAGAAATGTCTATTTAAAAACTGGTTTATTAGCTCTGTTTACCTACCATTATGGCTTACATCTAGATTTTGTCCCTAAGACTTATTTTCTTATAGGTAATTTGGGGGAGGTGAGTGGATTATGGTGTGATAGTGGATTGATCCACTGATAGGTTTCCAGTTGGGAGGTGAAGCCTGATAAGTAGTGTGACTGGGTGTATCACACTGTGGGTGTAACTTGGTATGTCCTTCCTGGTCCCTTGATGTCACGCTGCTTTCTACCTACCATGCCACTCTGTCTTAGAGCCAGTCAACTATGGAGTGAAACCTCTACAAACTGTCAGTCAAAATAAAACTCTTCCTTTACCTTGTGAGTATTGGGTATTTTGTCTAAGCAATGAGAAAGTAACCAAGACAGTGAACTCCATGCCATCTCTTTTCAACACTGAGGACAACAAAGAAGAATACCTAAGGTTTGTTCAAGATCTGCATCTATAAACTTCTACATCACTCTTTTCCAGGCCCTGTAGAGTGCAAACTGGAAGTCTCCAGTCATTATTCTACACCTGCAATCACCTTGACTACTGGAGCATCTGTGCAGACAGATCACCCCATGATGAGATCACCTTTGCATACAGATCAACCTGCCAAGGGGGAACAACTGGAACTAAAGCTGGCCCCCAAAGTAGGATCAATCACCTCAAAAGAAGAAATTGCCCCTTAAACAATAAAAGCTTCTCTGGCCATGTACAAGCCTGTAACACCAAAACTCTGGGAGGCCTGCTGGATCATAAGTTCCAGGTCACCTCTGGCAACTTAAGGAGAACCTGCCTCAAAATATAAAGGTATGGGGATATAGCTCGACACTTGCTGGGTTCAATCCCCAGTACTACCCCACCGAAGATATAAATATGAAAAAAAACAAATAAAAATTGAAGAGAAAAAATGGAAAAATTTGTCTTGAATTTCTTACTATATAAACTACAAAATTTACTAATTATAAAAAATACTGACAAATTTGACATTAATCTAAGACCTTTTGTCAATCAAAAGTAAAAGCAGAATGACAAGCCACTGACAAAGATCTTTAATTTATATAACTGAAAAAAGATTAATATGATCAGAAATTTTCAATAATTCTTACATAACCATTAGAAAAAAATAGAATTTTACAAAGGATATTAAAAGGTGTTTTTGCAAAAGGTGAAAAGTAAGTAAATCATGGGTAGACATTTATAAAGATACCTGACCAGAGTAACAATTAGAGAAATGAAAATAAAGGCACTATAAAAACATCATTTTAAACCTAAAAATTTCAATTTAGACTGGCCAGAAGTAATGAAAGAAGGCATAGGCATTGGTCTAGCTAGTCCTTTTGGTTCTGCAAGTGAGAACAGCTGTCTTTGTACATCACAGAACCAGTCTAGAGATACTGCTCAATCAGACTGCAAGCCTGACCAGAGTGCCTACATGGCCAGATAAGGAAACTCTCAACTCATGCCTTTGTTTCCCTTCTCTACAAAACTCTGACCTTCTTATAGGTACCCTGAAGACAGATCTTGAACTTCTTTATGTTATTCTCTGTGTGTCTGTGCTGATTAAAACTCCTTTCTTGTCACTTTGTCACTGCTTCTCTTAACTGGCAGACTGGCCAAACCTGGTCTGTGAGATCCCCAGAGACAGTTTCACCCCAACACTCTGGTAACAGTAACATGTAAGTATGATAACATGAAAAACTGCTGAATACAGAATGGACACTGTTCCCAGGAACGCATAAAACTAACTGGTTGATGGTTATATATAAAGATGTTCAACATCACTAGCCAAAAATGAAAATCAAAATCACAATAAAACACCATTTTAAAACTATTAGAATAACTATTATCAAACAGACCAAAGATAAAAAATGTTGGCAAGGAAATGGAGAAAATGACATTTTTTTATTACTTAAAATTCTTTATTGGTATATTTCTTTTCAGTACCACCTCCTTAAATTATACTAAAAGGATTTTTAGTATTAAAATGTATTAAGAACTGGAAAAATACATGTTCATATAAATCTAAAATCAGATTTTTATCCTGTTGCTTAAATTTGACCAAGTATTGTATTTCTACAAATAGAAATAAACTAGTAAACCATTAATATTAACAAATCATTAAAGCAAAAAACTTGTTATATTTATCAAATATTAAATTGATCATGAGTTTATATGGATTTATACAAATCACTGTTTTAAAATTCAGTGAAAAGAAAGTTAAAATGCATTTATTTAATTCAATTAATTTTTAATAGCTTTCTCTACTAGTCCTTTTAACTAATATTTGTTTCCTTGTCGTACTATGGGTTGAACCTAGATCCTTCACTCTGAATTGTATCACCAGCCCTTTTTAAGTTTTAATTGTGAGATGTAGTCTTGATGAGTCACTAAACTGCTCTGGCGAACTTGAACTTACACCGTGTCTGCTCAGTTGTTTATTTCTAAATCCCTGCTTCCTTACTGGTAATAAGACTCACAGATATTCCTCAGAAGGACCTTTCTATTAATCATGGCGTTATATCTTACACCACTGAACCCAATTCATATTGTCATAAACTACCAATCCCTTGTTTATATGACTAGAATTATGAAGTAATACTTTTTAAGTATTTCTACTGCTTTAACATTATTTACTCTCTTGGGCTGTGTTATACAGTCTTAGGTACCAAATTTTTTTTGATGTTTCTAGCACTATTTAAAATACACTGTTTAAGTGTATACATAGTTTGTTTATCCATGAGGAAAACTGACATTTAAAGAATTAAATCACTGAAGTGATTTTTTAAAATGTACATTTCAGCAGCTTATACTGAAAATTATGCCAGTATTTTTTCTGTAAATGCTAAGAATTCTATCAATTTCTTCACACCTTTTCAGTAACATTCACTTTTAATTAAGATTGCTGATTAAATATTCAAATGAACAAGATTTTGAATTTTAAAGCCTTGTGGATACAAAGTTTCATTAGTACCCAATAATCAAATTACATAAACCAAAGCAATTCTTGATTATTTAAGCCAACTTTTTAAAAAATAAAAAACTATATTATTGTCATTGGTTATAAATGCTTTCATTATTCTAATTAGGCAAGATTAACACAGAAAAAAACCTTTAATAATCTATCTCCATATACATATATTACCTTATTTAGTTCTTCCCTTTCTTGTTGTAAAGTTTTGATTTGTTTTTCATAAGCCTTGATTTGTCTAAAAGCATCCTCTAGTTCTTGTCTCACAGAATTAGCTTCTTCAAGTTGCTGCTCCAAATGACTTGATTCTAAAGACAAACATATAAAAGCAAATGCTTGAACATGTTTTTTTTTTTTTTATTTGTTTATTTTTTTTGGCGGAACTGGGAATTGAATTCAGGCCCTTGCGCTTGCCAGGGAAGCGCTTTTTCCACTGAGCCATCTCCCTGGCCCTTTGAACATGGTTTAAAACAACAACAACAAAACAAACTTTATAAACAAGCCCTGTGAATTTGGTGTAAGGTCTGTTGACATCAAAATACAAATATGATTCATGACAGATTAGGGTATTACATATTCATCATACAGATGATGAATGGTATATGCTAGAAAATGCATGTGCAAAATTTATGTGCAGAAATGCCTTATATAGCTATCTGGGAAAAAATATCATACTTCTAAAAAGAACAACTTCACACCAATTGAACACTTAAAAATGAAACAACACAACAAAGCCAATCAACTAAACAAGAAAGTTTGTGCCTACTGTTGCTTTTTTCTTATATTAATTTTACTGAGAAAAAAGTAGCAATGAGACAGTTTCAAAACAGGTGAGTGGGAATTACAATAATTAATACACTGCATATTGTTGTCTTTGTAGAAGTATTCATAGTACAACAACCAGACATGATATCGTCTAAAAACTATTCAGGGCTGGTGAGATGGCTCAGTGGTCTAAAGCACCTACTTGGAACAAGCTTAGCAAAGCACAGGGACCACGGTTCAATCCCCCAGCACCACATGCCAGCCAGCCCTGCCCCCTGGTGGACTGAGGTGGCCACACACACACACACACACACACACACACATAAATAAAATTTTTTAAAAAACCTATTAGTTCAAAACTTTCTTTTCATTGAACTAAGAGAAACTAGCTGTATATCTATGCTATTTTGTATATACAGATATATATATATATATATATATATATATATATATATATTCATTCACTGCAAAATGGTCCTTCATTTATATCCCTTTTTTACTTTTGTCAGAGATGGGTGTTGCAGTGCCATTCATATATTGTAGGTGCATGAATTCAGCAAAGTAATCCAGTATAGTCCAGTAGTCTATAACAATAGTGGATTATCTGAATGATTGGGAATATCAGAGGTTGTTGACTTGAGCTTTTTACAGCTTACCATATTAATATGGCTTTACTTTTATACATCGTTTTTATACTTTTCTGCTGGATGGTTAGCACCAAGATAAAGCAAGTCATATATAACAAAAAATGTAACTTTTGTATCTGAAAAGGTCAGTCAAATGCCCTCAGGATTCACCCTGAAATCCTAATACACTGCATATTGCATTATGCAAAAGACCTAAGTTTGTAGATCTTTTGTCAGTGTCAGCCATGTGGATGAGTCACAGCCATTGCTTGACCAATTTGCTCTCTGTGAAGGCCTAAAATAATGTTTTTTCTTCATGTAACTCACCTTAGGTACACTCTACATTGTTGATCACTTTCTCTGTGGCCCCATAATCTCCTTGATCAGAAAATTTGGGACACCACTGACTTACAGGATGTTACAGTACAGGTCCTCTTATGTCCT